TTAACCAGTTTTACAGATATCTTAATACATACCCTATTCTTGTCAATTTTACCACATACCTAGTATACATACATACCCTATCTTTAAACCCAAAAGTCTGACTCTGCCTAAAACGAAGGACTTACAGAAGACTGGGAAGAAGTGGGTGACTTAAACTAGGGGGATAGAACCCTACAGTTTAGCTGTGCACTCGTGATGGTACACTGCATAGAGACCACAACCCACTCTGTTGATTGAACACACAATAAAAAAATACAGTCCCCACTATGATGCTCAAAAGAATCAAAGGATTTGGCATTCAATTTCCCTTGTAATTATTCAGATGTGCTTGTATATAGCCTCTCTAAGTCTTATAGTTTTATTCCCTGATATCAAGCATACTGTGATGGAACACATGATGCACTCAAACCTCGTGACTATAAAATGACTATGGGCAAACTGAACGATAGCAGTCTTGTAGCGTGCACTGTTTTAGAAATTGTAATACTAAAATGATATTATAGTTCATGGACTGTTATGGTGCACAATGAAAGTCAGGAAACCTCTGAAATTAAAAACGTAAGTGTGCTATATGACAAAGGACACCAAGTACAAGTTAAAGGAGATCTCTTTTACAGTGTCCGGCTCCATTTCAGATGGTGACAGTAATAGATCAAAGCAGTGCCCAGATATTGTACAAACCAAAAGCACATTTGTAGGGTCCAAAACAGCTTCTCTGCATGTATCATCACAAACTGCATGAACAAAGAACATAAACCAATAAACTTCAATCAAGTTATGTATAAAAATCTATGCAATTGTACCAAATTTACAAACAAGCAAGGTTGCTATATTCAATAACCACAACTAGTGATGCATACCATGGACCTGTCCGGTCTTCTCACAAACGAATACATCTCCAATTTGATAATAAGAACATGTTTCTCCAGAGCAATCATGATTGGGGACCACCTTATCAGTTAGGCCTCTGCTGCTTTTCCATATAGATACTTGATCAGCAACAGTCTTATCAAGAATAATCTGGTCATCATTCACCTTTAGATACACAAGAAAAATAAATGATAAATGAAGGAAATGCCTTTGTCTTATTGTTATGAGCCTCATTTAAAGAGAGATCAGTAAATTTATCCCTATTTGTTCTGGAGTAAACAATCAAGTTTCAAGAGAGATCAGTAAATTTATCGACAAATATGATGTCACTCTCGATGTCTGCTCATCATCCGTTGGTTCACAAGCACAGGTTCTTAATCAATTGGTAGGCCTAGATCTCCAGCTCTCCTATACTTGTTTGTTTCTTTATCTTTAGGAAACTCTTGTTTTCCTCTTCTTTTACTGTGTTAATCAGTCTTGGCTCCATCTATATCAATCTTCATTTACAGCAAGATACAAAGAACATAGATGTCTGTGTAGAAGATGAAACGGTTACTTACTTGAACCGGGAAGATGTACAGAAAGCTTCCCATGCGTGGCTTGTTGGAGTCACTGCATGGAGTGTTTACAGCACGTAATAATCCTCATCTTGTTGCAGAAAATGAAAAAAAGAAAGAAGAAAGAAAAAAATAATTTCAACACAATAATCATATTCGGAGTTCCCATCTTTATATAGAATCAACAAAAACATTTTGAATATATAACACGAATTGTGTAGCCTCCACAGCCTAGTTGAGAAATGGGTAGATTAGATTGAATGGGATCTGCCAAGGCAGTGTTTGAATCATGGATTTAGCTTATATTTCATTTACATTTCTCTTTCCTTATTCAAATCCATGATCCAAACACAGTCTAAGTGAAATATTTAAAACCTTTGTGTTTTCATAATCTGTGTGTTTTACTCTATTGCCAACAGTGTTCTCCATTATGAGAAGAAAAACCTAGAGATACCAACAATTCATGTACTGGGTTCACTTGTCAAGTCTGGTATTCGGGTCTTGGTTTTCAGGTGAGTTCCTTCATAATGTATGCACAAACTTAAAAATCATTTAAGATCTCATTCATAGAATTACTTACGAAAATTACATACAAAATTCTTACAGTGGAGATGAAGATTCAGTTATCCCATTACTCGGAATGTGTACACTGGTGAATGAATTGGCAAAGGAGTTGGAATTGAAAACCACTGTTCCATACAGAGTTTGGTTTGAAGGGAGACAAGTCACTGGATGGACACAAGTATATGGTGATATACTATCTTTTGCCACCATTAAAGGAGCTGCGCATGAAGCTCCATTTTCACAACCAGAGAGATTGCTTGTTCTTTTTAATTCATTTTTGGGTGGAAATCCACCACCAGAGGCAGTACTGTCTGCTGAGAGCATATAAAATTATCAGTCATGTTCTGTGATTGTATTGAGTAAGAAGATGATATCTGTTCTTGCCAATGAAAAACCAAAAAAGGAGGTACAATTGTATTTTTGTAATAATACATCAACCTCTCACAGTCCAAGGAGATCAATGATTAGACAAAAAGCATTGTGAATGATTCACTGCAGTGTAAACAGCTAGGCTCATACCCTATACAATGCAAATTTCTTTCAATATTGTAAATAATTGCCTTTTATGATTCTACTAGTAAAGTCAATCCAAGAAAATGCGAAGTAAACGTAACATCACAAGCAATCAAGCTATTCACAATATAAAGTAATATATCATTTTTTAGTAAAATAAATATCATGACATTTTGAAGTACCGAACTTTTCAATAAACAGATAAATTTATCTGGTTGACTTTCGTTGGACATGATAATCAGAGGGAGATGCTCTAAATTTCATAAAAGAGAAGTGAACCAGAAGCACAAAACATTACCCACAAAACTCAAATAGAAAAGCCTTGGGTTCTAAATTTTGGTTTATTGTTTCTCCAACAATACAAAACCACATTGTTCCAACATATAATTCAGAGCTCAGTTCTGAACTGTCCAACACGGATATGTTACATTCTTAGAAGTGTTAATGCTTTTTAGCCAACCACTTCTTCTCAAATATGAAAGGGGGTAGGACCTCATTTAAAAGGATAATTGTCCAAAGTCACAAGACAATGATCCGTGCAACTGTAGGAATCACCTCCTACCTACGTTTGGAAACTTATCATCCCGCTGTAACATTTTGAAACCTATTATACCAGTCCACAGAACAGAAAAGGCTATCCAATATATTACAAACCAAATTAACCATATTAGCTCAATTAAATCCATTTGATAAATATGAAAGATTATTAGTTCGACCGAATTATTAGTTCAACTTTCATTTTTCCAACTAAATATTGAATTATCCATTCTGTTAGATATAGAGTTCAATCCCATTAGTTATAAAATGCCACTGTCTAATCAATTAACTACACACTTCTAAATACAATAAAGATGTTCATGCATTAGCAGATTTAGCTAAAATGCTAACATAGGAACAACAACACTAATGGATAAAGAAGCACAAAACATTACCCACAAAACTCAAATAGAAAAGCCTTGGGTTCTAAATTTTGGTTTATTGTTTCTCCAACAATACAAAACCACATTGTTCCAACATATAATTCAGAGCTCAGTTCTGAACTGTCCAACACGGATTTTCTATCAAAATTTTCAATTTTTGTTTGTTGCAAAATAACAATGTCAAGGCAATGTCTAGTCAATACTTAATTATTGATTAGAGTTCAAACCTTTTCTCTTGGACCTCAGTCTTCTCACATTCCAACTCATTATTTTCATTTAGAATTCTCTCTACCTTTCACTTCCCAAGAACAACTATCACAATGAACCTCACAAACCAAATTTATCAGTTCCCTAAAAGCCCCTTTCTTCTACCCTCACTTTCCCTTTCCCTCCAAAACTGACCCTCCCATCTTTTCCCACCCTTCTCACTATTAAAACATACAAAAGACAAGCCAATCTTATCTACAAAATAACCCAACTAGACCACCCTTTCGTCGTTAAGGGTTTTTTTTCACTTTTTTCACACAAATATAATCATTTCACTTTTTTCTCACAAATATCACGCCTAATTACAAAAAAATCTAACTATCTTCTCAAACACAAAAATTTTAGCCTACTAAAATAGCCAAAAACTAAAATAACTTAT